ATAATTTGTGTCTTCATTATCATTTTGTTCCAAAAATTTGGGGATTTCTTTCTTAATCTCATCTTTGACCCAGCTATCATTCAGCCTAAGATTATTTAGCTTCCATGACTTTGGAGTATGAAGATTCCCATTGCTGTTGATTTTAACTTTCATTCCATGGTGGTCCGAGAAGATACAAGGAATAACTTCTACACTTTTAAATTTTCTGAGGTTAGACTTGTGTCCTAGGATATGATCTATTTTGGAGGATGACCCATGGACTGATGAGAAGAATGTATATTCAGTTTTATTAGGGTGAAATGTTCTGTAGAGATCTGTATAGTCCATTTCTTCTAGGATCAGGTTTAAGTCTCATATTTCTTTGTTTAGCTTCTTTTTGGAGGTTATTATCCAAAACTGTCAAAGGGGTGTTAAAATCTCCAACTATTATAGAGCAGGAAGATATCAAGTTGTTCATATCCATTAGGGTCTGCTTTATGAATTGAGGAGCATAGAGGAGCATTCTGGTAGGGTGCATAAATGTTAATTATCAACATATTTTTATCTTGGGTGTTTCCCTTGACAAATATGTAGTGACCTTCCTTATCTTTCTTTATCTTTGTTGGTTTAAAGCCAATTGTATCCACTACTAAAATTGCAACCCCTGCTTTTTTCTGGTTTCCATTTGTCTATAATGTACAAGTCCATCCCTTCACTCTGAGTCTATTTATCTCCTTTAAGGTAAGGTGAAATTCTTACCAGAGCATTTATCTGGTCTGAATTTATGTATCCAGTCAGCCAGCCTGTGCCTCTTTAGAGGACAATTTAAACCAGTCACATTAATTGAGTGAATTGATAAGTCTGGTTGTGTTTTGGGTGTCATGATTTTCAGATGTCCAGTGGACATTTTTAATCCCTTCACCACTGTGGAAGTTGGGTTTTGTTCAAAAATTTCTGGGTGAGTTTACTTTGGAGGTAGAGCATTGTGCTGGTCGTTGTGGAGGATGGGTCTGAGAATATCCTGGAGGTCTGGTTTAGTTATGACAAATTTCTTCAATGTGTCTATGTCATTAAAGTATTTGATTTCTCTGTCACAAATGAAACTCAGTTTAGCTGATACAGGATCCTGGGCTGGAAATTGTTTTGTTTCAGGAGACTGCAGGTCAATGACCATCTTCTTCTGGCTTGAAACATTTCGGCTGAGAGATCTGCATTCATTCTGATATTTCTCCCTTTGTAGGTGATGCTTTTCTTACATCTAGCTGCTTGCAGAATTTTCTCCTTCATCTTAACTTTGGCAAAATTAATCACAATGCGTCTAGAAGATACTTTACTTGGATTGAGTCACTTGGGGTTCTGAAACTGTCTGCTATCTGAAGTTATGTATCTCTTACAATGCTTGGGAAATTCTCCTCCAAAATCTCCTGAAGTAGAGCATCTGTACCTTTAGGACCATCCTCTTCTCCTTCAGGAATTCCTATAAGACAAATGTTTGATCTTGTGGAGTGATCCCATAACTCTCTCAGGGAATGATGGGTTTTTGCTCTCCATTTGTCTGCCTCTTTGAGTGTTTGGGAATGTTCAAAAGTTTTGTCCTCAGTTTCAGAGATCCTTTCTTCTCCCTGGTCCACTCTATTACTGAGGGATTCTACTGTATTTTGGAGCTCCTCAACTAACTTTTTCATTTCCTTGAGCTCTGCTATCCCTTTTCTCATTATGTCCATACCTTTGGTGACTTGGGCTTTGAATTCATTAATTTCTTGAGACAACTTAAGAACTACTCTTTGTAACTCAATTTCTATCTTTTCTTCTATTTATCTTATTTGCCATCCATATTCTGAGTTCAATTTCTGAAATTGCTGTCATTTGTCTATGCATGGCATCATCAGTTGTATCTCCTTTGTCATTTTTTTTGGGGGGGGGGGCGTTGATCTACTCTGTTTATTCATGTTGCCAGACTTCTTCTGTTGGGTTCACACCATGTTTATTCCCCACTGTTTGGTTATTAGAACTGGTAGGGTAAGATTGAATTGGGGTTCGCAAGTAGTAGAGATAGCCCCTTACCAAAGCACTAGGCTTTGTAATTGTGACTTATCTCCTACAACCTTATAAAGGCCCCTTTCACAGTTTTAGCTGGAGACTCTGAGGACCTACTTGGTGAAATAGCGCAAGTTAGCTCTGTTTTGATATCAGCCAACCTCTATCCTAACCTAAGAAAACACAGTATTAGGTTTAAATCTCAACTGTGAAGAGATACAAACAGCTGTGGTGCCCAGCCCCCACCCTTCAGTTCTTTGCTACAGAACTTTGAAGGTCAACCTCAAAATGTCACCAAGTGGACAGCCCCAGACACAGGTTCCAATCAAATTGTCACAGGTAGTGCAAACCCTGCCCAACAGAAATGGATTCAAGGGTCATCTTGAATCCATCTTGTGTTGGAGACAGCACAGTTAGAGCCAGGGATCCACACTCCCACCCTCCAGACTCAGTCCACACTGTTGTCTGCTTCTCTGCTCACAGGCCCAGCTGGAGCCAGGTAGAATTTATTGATGTACTCGGTACATGGGGTAATTTCACTTCTGTTTCTTTTGTTTGTTTATTTTGGTTTTTCCAATATCTGCTATTAGGTCCTAGCAAATTTTTCTAGAAAACACAAGAACTTCTCTCCCATATACAGACCCAGTGTCTACTCAGTTTCCTAGGAAAATGAAGTAAAAGTCACAAAAAAGTGAATCACAACTACGTGTACTCTCCTGAGCTAAGTGTGGGGATCTAGTTAGACACTGAAACCACTTGGGCCTGTGGAAGCTAAGGTTCATTTCTGTTGCCACAAAGGCCTCTCTCACTGAAGTTTGCACATGCCCAGTCCCCTTTTTAAACCTCAAAGATAATTTGGACACAAATTTCAAGGACGTTTATGAGAAAATTCACTGATACTAAATTCCACATACTACCTATTCATTTCCCTTAGACTAGTAATCAAAAACTACCTGTTTTAAAATTTAAATATGTAAACCAAAATGATTTATACAGACAATCTAGGAATGATTATTTTATAAAGGTCACCATTTTCCTTATTCCTCTTTTTTAAATGTATTTGTTCAGTGGGATTGGGGTATTCAGGAGTTAAAGAGAAAAGATTTATTCCACTAGAAAAATCAACAAGATGTGAACCACATTTTGGAATTAGAAACAGAGCAGTTGTATTAAAATTAAAAGAAAAAAACCACTAGACTTAAAATTTTAAATGTGCATGCGTATGTATGCGCACACATGTTCAAATCCTTGTTTTCCTCTAACTAGCTGAGTTAACATCAATGACTTTACCTCTCAGAACCTCAATTTCTTTATCTGTAAAATGGACAAAATCATTCTGAATTCATTCTGGTCCTGTTGTTAGGCTTAAAAGAAAGCTTACATCAAAGAGCCTAGCATAGATCCACACAGATAGCAAGCATGTATTAAGTGTTCATTAAATTTGCTAGCAGCAAATGAAATCTGGATAGAAAATAACTACATAAACCCAATCTTTGAATATTTAATAGTGAAAATAAAGGTTGAGCGTGGTGGTTCATGCCTCTAATCTTAGCACACTAAGAGGCTAAAGCGGGTGAATTACCTAAGCTCAGGAGTTCAAGGCCAGCCTGAGCAGAAGTCAGACCCCATCTCTACTAAAAATAGAAAAATTAGCCAGATATTGTGATGGGCACCTATAGTCTCAACTACTCAGGAGGCTGAGGCAAAAGGATCACTTGAGTCCAAGAGTTTGAGGTTGCTACAAGCTATGATGCTATAGTACTCTAACTAGGGTGACAGAGTGAGACTCTGTCTCAAAAAAAAAAAAATAGTGAAAATAAAAATATTTCCTCCCTACTCTATTTTCTACTTAACATTGAATGTATTGTCCCAATTAATGGCCAGAACTTTGTGAAAGTTACTGCCACAGAAACACAGACTGAATTTGTAAAAAAAAAAATGAAGAAGTAAAATAAACAGTTATTGCATTCAAAATGTTCATATCATTTACACTAAACTCCAATCCTGTGGTTTATTCTAAGAAAAACATACTGAAATTTTCTACTCCTTCAAAAGCAATTTCAACTTTTCAGAATATTTTTATGCCCTCCATTATTGGACCCCATGGAGGTTCCAAGCATTGAAAAAATGGATACGCAAAGAAATGGGAGGTTTATGATATTCACAGATTCTTCAGGGTACCGATTTTCATCCCCAAAGAGAAAGCGATTTGTGTTTCAGAGAAGATAGGGAAGCTGCAGGCCATAGAGGGGAACCTAGTATTTTCAGGAGCCCTGCTTCACTCAGAGTTCAAGTTTCTACCGAGCAATCTTCCTGCTTTGACACGGTATACACACTGGTGTGCCGGAGAGTCTAAGCACTCTCTTCTTTCTGTACACATTCCCTGAAGCAGTGGTTTTAGCAAACTTTTACATGCTTATGAATTGCCATCACCTTCTCAGTGTTGTCGTCTATCCAGCACTTCATGTGCAGGGGCATAAAGACACTTGCCTCATATGTCCATCATGTACTAACCCAAGTATCTTATATTTTTCTTCACTAAACATGATTCCATCTCCCAGAGAGTAGTACCATCATTCACCCACAGTATATAAGCCAGGAACTGGGAGTAGATCTAAATTCACCTTTACCCTCCCTATCTCCTAAACCCAAATCTTACTGACCTTCCCTTCCAGATCTTCATAAGTCCAACCTACCCCCTGTCTTGTCTATCATCACTGGCTGACTTCAGACTCACAGCATTTTGCAATTGCCATATTGTAGTACATTCCAAAAAGGTCATTTTTCCTGGGTCTTCCTACCTCTAGCCTTATCCTCTTCAATCCATTTTCCACATGGCAGACATACTTATATTCTCATTATTTTTTTTAATTCAGTCTCCATAGAGACTGTCAAAAAATGCCAATGCCAGGCGGCACCTGTGGCTCAAAGGAGTAGGGCTCCAGCCCCATATACCAGAGGTGGTGGGTTCAAGCCCAGCCCTGGCCAAAAATACTGCAAAAAAAAAAATGCCAATGCCAACTATATTTCAAGTCATCACAGCAGAGTATCGGGAAAAGTTTTTAATTAGCAATAATTGCCTTTGGATAAACCTCATTTGCTACTATACTGCCACCGCACAAAGGTACAGTTATATTCCTAAAAGGCCAATATGACCATGTCACATGGCTGCCCCTGTCCCTTCACATTGCCTCCATGGTTGGAGGCAACGTATTTTGGCATCTTACCTCTTACATGTGCTCAGATTCCCCAGCCTTAGCTTCTGCCACTTTCGTCAGTATAATAAATGCTCAAGTAACAGTAAACTCCTCAGAGTATCTTTCTCTACAATTCTGGCTGTTTCACAGCATGTTCCATTTTGCAAAGTGTTGCACGTCTTTGCAGAGAATATCTTTTCTTTTCCCTTCCCAACTCAACCCAAGCCTTGTTTCCTCCAGAAAACTTCATTACAGTGGGTACAACAATAGCAGGTATAGAAAGGATTTTGCAAAGTTAAAACTTCTTTTGAAAAAGTGGGAATTTACAATATATTTTCCTTCCGGACTACTCTGAGATCCTTTCTAGAGCAGAGAACTAAGCAATATAATGTGATATTTAAGAATATGGTCTCTGAATTGTAACCTATGGGATTTTTATCCTGACCCTGCCAGTTTGCAACCAGTTGACAAACTCTAGACTCTTTAGGTGATATCTTTTAAAAGATGATAATAGATAACCAGTTTATCTTTTTAAAGGTGATAATAATGACACTAAGCTCAATGGAGAGTTATCAGAATAGAATGAGCTGAAACATAAAGGATGAGAAACAAGGAGTCAGTCCTGCAAAGACTTGGAGGATGTACGATTCAGGGAGAGACAATGGTGATTACAAAGGCCCCCCTGATGAAACGTGGGTAACTGGATGATTTACAACCAACATCCCCCCTGCAATTTCACTCAGCCTGGGATTATGTTTTCTCAGAGAAAGCAGTGAAAGCACCAGTATTAACACAGAACCTCATTAGCTGGGATCTGCTTCATTTCTTCTGCCCCATTTGGAGTCGTTCCAGACTATCCTATCACTTTTAAGCCATGGGTGAAACTTTAAAGCCCTCCAAAGTGGTAAAAGGGCTACACTGGCAGGGACCCAAGGGATGAACGTCAATGCTAAGTGCAGCAGTCCCGCAGTAGCAGCCTGCGAGGGCATCTCCACCACGGCCTGCCTCTGGATGAACACCGCAAAGCACATCCCACTGGGGAATGTGGACTTCTTGTCACACTTGACAGCAGGCTTATTTCAGCATGTGACACGTTTGCCAAATGAACAGAGAGTCAGTGATCGCACTGGTTTTAAAAATGGTTTTTGCTTTGTACTAGAGAAATGAAATGATTTATGAGTTTGTCAGGGAACGGATGCTGCCTTTTGGAAAAAAAAATCCTCTCTGTTCCTCAGCATCATGAATTGCAAATGAACGAGAGGGTGATGTATGTGTGCGTGTACATGTGTGCACACACGTATCACAGTGCATGTACCCTTTCTTCTTTGCTTCTGTGGTTTGGACCACTGTGTGCCTTCACTGACGTTGCAAGTGAATTGTAATTATAATGCCAAGCATTCACTTCCAAGACAAGCCAAATCTGTCTTCCATTAAAGTCATGGAATAGTTAAACATATCTTTTTTTATTCCCAACCATAATAAAAAACAGGTTCCCCACTCAATCTCATGCTCCAGAAGACAGAGGATTCCACATGTCACATGGTCCTTTCTGTGATATTTGGAAATAGATCCTGATGGTGTCCCAGGCATATCAGCAGGAGCTCAGCCTAACTATGGCTCATCATGTGCGCTGTGGTTTGGACAGCAGCTGCGTGGAAATCCTGAAATGTAATCGATTTCCTTCTTAAGACACTGAGCCTGTTTGCCAGCTACTAAGCATATTCCTCGGTGTGTCCTTCTGCGATATTAGATGGCATCACAGAAATGAGAGCAATGCTTTCTTTTAAATGAGAGATGAGGAGATACTGCCCTTCGGGAATTGCTTCCAAAGGAAAAAATAATGCTCCAGTTTTTCTGTTCACCAGTTTGCAACAATCATTCTGATGATATATGTTCATAAAACTGCCTTAGACATGAAATCTTCCTGTATAATTCAGTGGTTATTGTATCCTAATGCTCTAAATTTGTATGCCTCCAGAATGCAATTTGATAATAAAAGTAACTCATTAAAGAACATTTCAATAAAAAAATCCCAAAGATTAAATGCTCTGCAAACATTTACCTCCTATACAAAATCTATCTGGCATTCAATATTTGCTTTTTCTTCCAAATTTTTCAAGTATGCAGAAAATTACCAATAGACTTTAAATTGCAATTTAAAAGATCATAGTCTTTGAAACTAAAACTCCACAGTTCTTTAGTCAGAGGATTTGTGTTATATCTGTAGAGTTAGATTTACCTTATGTTTTATTTAAACCATTCTTTCTTTTGTGGATACACAGTAGTTGTACATATTTGTGGGGGTATCTGTGATTTTTTTATACAAGCACACAATGTATAATGATCAAATCAGGGTAATTGGGATAGCTATCACATTAAACATTTATCATTTCTATGGGTTAGAAACATTCCAATTCTGCTTTTCTAGGAATTGTGAAATGTACAAATGTTATTGTGAAATGTACAACAAATAATTGTTAACTACAGTCATCATTTTGTGCTACTGAACACTAGATCTTACTCCATGTATGTAATATTATTTTAATACTCATTAACCCACCCCACATTATCCCCCTCCCCATGACCCTTCCCAAACTGGCAGCTCCCACATACAGTGTTTAGAACTCATAAATTTTCTATTTGTATCAAAATCTCTTATCAAGTAGAATTACTTTAAATCAGTTTCTCTGTTTGAGATTTTCTACACCAAAAGTGTAGTATGAATTCAGATCCCATATTTCTGAAAAAGTTCACAAATTAAAATTACAGGACATAAAGTCAACATACAAAATCAGTAGCATTTCTATATGCCAACAGTGAATATTATTTAAAAAAAAAAAAAAGAAAACAAGAAAGTGCTCTTGTATACAATAGCTATAAATAAAATAAAATACCTAGGACTAAACTTAACCAAAGAATGAAAGATCTCTACAATGAAAACTATATAATACTGGTAAAAGAAATTGACAAGAAGACAAAAAAATGAAAAGATATTCCACGCTTATTAATTGGCAGAATCAATATTGTTAAAATGACCACAGTCCCCAAAGCAAGCTACAGATTTAATTCAATCCCTATCAGAATACCAATGGTATTCTTCACAGAAATAGGGAAAAAATCCTAAAATGTATATGTAACCACCAAAGACCCAGAATAGACAAGCAATCTTGAGCAAAAAAACCCAAAAAAACAAAAACACCAAAGCTGGAGACATGATATTACTTGACTTCAAATTATACTACAAAGATATAGCAAGCAAAACAGCATGGTATTGGCATAAAAGCAGACACAGAGACAAAAGCAGAACAGAGAAGCCAGAAATAAATTCATACCTTTATAGTCAACTCACTTTCAACAAAGGTATCAAGAACATACATAGAAGAAAGCCCAGTCTTATCAACAAATGGTGCTGGAAGAACTGAATATCCATATGCAGAAGAATGAAGCTAGACCCTAATCTTTTGCCATATAGAAAAACAAATCGAAATAGGTTAAAGACTTAAATGTAAAACTTGAAACTGTGAAACTACATTGGTGAAACACTCCAGAACCTTGATGTGGGCAAAGATTTCTTAAGAAGACCCTAAAACAAATCTGAGTTAAGACCAAAGCATAAATATTCATTGATCATTCTATTTCTTTTTTCCTGTAAAGTGATTGTTCTTAACTTTAATTTACCTTGGTTTACACTTTGAGGTTTTTTTTTTTTTCATTTTAAGATTTCATTTGTTTTTAATAGACCAATAAAAGCTGTCCACATACTTACGGTGTACAACATGATTTTTTGATATATGTATACACTGTGAAATGGCTAAGTATATATTATTAATTTACATATACATTATCTCACATACTTATCTTTTTTTGTGGCGAGAACACTTAAAATCTATTCTCTTAGCAATTTTCAAGTATACTGTTCCACTTTTTAATTAAGGTGTTTTTCCTATACTTATTCTTTCTGATTCATAGGAGTTCTGTTATATTCTTTATATACACCCTTATCTACTTTGGAGTTTTGTTTTTCACATACCAACTAGTTATTTTATTTAAGTAGATTTATTTTATAGAAACAACCAATTGATTCAGTACATTAATTCAGTCTTTCCTCACTTTTAATTCATCATTTCCATATATAAAGTTTTTATATGCATCAAAATCTCTCATCAAGTATAATTACATTAAATTAACTTCTCTGTTTCAGATTTTCTAAACCAAAATAGTAGTATGAATTTAGATTCCAGGTTTATGAAAAGCTCACTGATAATTTCAAATGTTTAAGACAGAATAGATGTTATCTTTTTCTCTGATTTATTACTTTGTTATCTCCTTTTGGGACACAGATTTATTTTTTCTAGCCTAGCCTCCCCCTAAATGTGTAGAAATAGAAGATCCAGCTCTTTGCAGAGGTCACCACTATAACTTTCCGCCTTGTTCCAGCTCAAAGCTATGTCTCCTTTCTGCTATTGGACCGTAAGAGCAAAGGGATTTAAATTACTTGAGGGAGAAAAGCCCCTTAGGACCACTTGCAGCTTCCCTGATTGCTGGCTTCAGGATCCACTGTTTCTCTAGATTCCTGTTCCTTCTCTGTTTGTCTTCTACAGATTTCCCTAATTTTCTAACAAGTGCAGCTATGCATTTAAACAGTGGTTTTCAAATAATGACAATAACTCACTTAAATATATAAGTTTTATAGGGTAACCCAGTACACACAAAACCTTTCAACTCATAGAACAAATACTTCACCTTACCACCTGCGGGGCATTAGGCTGTTTTCATTCTGTTCTATTTCACTCTGCTCTTGCTCTGTCCTATTCCATTCCATTTCATTCCATTTTATTTCATACCATTCCATTTAAAAAATGATAGTTACAACCCACAAAATTGGTTTTCTTACTTACCCCTGGGATATTTAAACTGCAGAGCCTACAG